AACGCACTGGGAAGTCAGAGGAAGATGGCCCAAGTGCCTGCTAGGCCCCTGCACCCACGTGGGAGACCCAGCTGGAGTTCCTGGCTTCTGGCTGCAGTGTGGCCCCAGCCCTGGCTGTTACAGGCATTTGGGGAGTGAGCCAGAGGATGGAAGATCTCTTTCTCTCTTTGTCCTTCTATCACTCTGCCTTTCAAATGAATAAAGAAATCTTAAACAAAAAAAAAAAAAAGGAAAGAAAGAAAAAGAAAAGCTGGAAACAACCTAAATTTCTAACTTAGCTGAATGGCTTAATATAGTAATGAATATGAGAGACCATCGTGGCGCTAACTGTGATGACTGTGCAGTAACTTCGAGGGTTAAGATGTGACACTGAATTAGCCGCACGGCAGCTATGAGAGACAAACACTGCACATTTATATGGAAACTAATCCACCAAAATGGAAGCACCTGTGTTTAGGGACAGTCATGACACAGCAACGTGGCTTATTCTACCTTTTCTAGGCTTGGGTGCCTGGAATTAGTTTTTTTTTTTTAATTCCCTTTGATGATCCCCACGTTCATATCAAATGTCTAATAAAAGTAAACCAAAGCGCTGGCCGCAGTGCTCTGGCCGTGGCGGCCATTGGAGGGTGAACCAACGGCAAAGGAAGACCTTTCTCTCTGTCTCTCTCTCTCACTGTCCACTCTGCCTGTCAAAAAAATAAAAAAATAAATAAAAAAAGTAAACCAAAGCGCTACGCGACCAGAGGTAAACCCGCTCTTGCCAGAGCTGTGGTGAGCAGCAGTGTTCAGAGCCGGTTGGAGTGGCTTTCTGGTGAAGCCCTAGAACAGCACCTGGCCTCCCGCCTAGCAGAGGCCCAGCAAGACTCAGAGAGGAGCTGCTCTTCCCCTGCAAATTAGCATCACCAAGCCAAGTCCCAGGAAGCGAGATTTATTCTTAAAAAGCAAACAACAATAGGAAAAGGCTACAGGAGGGATTGGTATCGTGGGGAGAAGCCTGTCTGGGTCTCCCCGGGCCGTCTTAGCTGAGTACCCAGGTGTCTCCCCTACAAACGTGCCTTCCTTTGTTGACACTTTTATTCCTGCTAAGAAACCCCCTAGCCAGGGAGCAGGGGGCTCGGAGTGTGCGACAGACAGGGTGTGGATTCACCAGATCCTAACAACGTCTCGGACTTAAGTGGACGGGCTTCCTGGAATCGGTTGTTGGCGGGGCAGGATTTGTGAGCCAGCAGGACAAAGAGAATACACTTGGTACCAAACCACCAAGAACGAAATGAAAGGGGCTCGTGCTCTGTTTTCACCGTGGCCGATCGGGTAGCATTCGGCTTTTCCTCAACTCACCGCCGTGTCCATCCTGACCTGTAGCTTTTCGGCATCTCCTGACTTGGCGACTTGGTTTCAAGTCTCAGCCGCAACCAGCCAGGTAGCTCTAGTTCTGAGTTAAGCGAGGTGGAGAGAAACATGACCCTCCTCTATCAGCTTCTTGAGTCTACACTGAATCCCGACCACATCTGAAACCAAGCTCTGCATCAGATGCGAAAGAATCTCAAAACGGCCCAAACCCCCGGAAACAGCACTGTTTTTAATCTGTTGCCTACAACATACCAATGAGGAAAATCATGCTATCGTGTCATAAACCGCTATGCAAATGATGCTATTTGTAAGTATTAACATAATTTAGTGCTTACAGTCATGTTCTCGTTTCTAATAATTCTCCCAGAATGGAGTCTTTCTCTGGACTGTTAGCCTGCAGGACAGTCTTTCATCAAGAAGCTGAAATTTTTAATAACCTGCCAGCATATGTTTTGTATGTTCCAGGCTAGGCTTGATGACACAACATCTTCATTATCAAAAGAAACAGGTCTACACACTGTAATAGGACATTCAGACACGCCTGTGCTCAGAAAGCAAAGCTTTGATGGCTAAATGCGTGCCATTACAATGGGCTTCCCTTCACAAAGCAGGATTCTCGGCTTCAGTTCTCCATAGCTACCCTCAGTGGAGGCTGCGGCTTGCTTTGGAGGCAACAGAATGTCAGAAAAAAAAAAAAAGAAGAAAACCCAGCTTTGCAGACCTACTGTATTTGTGCTGTCGGCTTCCCACCACATCCCCGGCGAAGCACAGGCCTCAGACTGTAAAATGACTCCTGAATAATTATCTGTTCCTTGTTAAGTTTTAAAGCGTGATTTAGATGGACTATTAATTATTCAACAGTTTCACATTTAATAACATGATGGCAGTGCCAAATGTACTAAACGCTATGGTTTAAAAGAATTGAAAATAAATAATGTACTGCGAGGCTTCAAATACAACTCAGTCACATACCAGTAACCTAAATATTTTCTACTTTTCGTAAAGAAAGCTCTGTTTGTTTGTTTATTGGAGAGGCAGAGAAAGAATGAGTTGGGTGAGTTCTCATCCACTGGTTCATTCCCCAGATGCCTGCGATGGCCGGGGCTGGGCCAGGCTGAAGCCAGCAGCTGGGAATTCAACCCTGGCCTCCCACATGGGTGTCAGGGATAATTCTGTTGTCTCCAGAGTCCGCATTGGCAGAGACCCAGCGTCAGGTAAGGGACCCAGGTACTCCACTATGGGCCACAGGTGGGGTCTTCCCTGCTAGGCTAAACGCCCATCCCCAAATACCTTTTTTTTTTTTTAAGATTTATTTATTTTATTATATGAAAGCCAGAGTTACACAGAGGCAGAGGCAGAGAGAGAGAGGTCTTCCATCTGTTAGTTTACTCCCCAAATGGCTGCAATAGCTGGAGCTGTGCCAATCCAAAGCCAGGAGCCAGGAGCATCTTCTGGGTCTCCCACATGGGTGCAGGGGCCCAAGCACTTGGGCCATCTTCTACTGCTTTCCCAGGCCATAGCAGAGAGCTGGATCAGAAGTGGAGCAGCCGGGACTTGAACTGGCGCCCATATGGGATGCCAGCACTGCAAGTGGCGGCTTTACCTGCTATGCCACAGCGCCGGCCCCTCCCCAAATACTTTTTAAACTTAAAGCCAAACATTTCAAATTCATCAGAGATTAGTGTCAGAGTGAAGTCTTTAAAAAGTATTGGTTTGAAGCTCTTTGCTATGGCCTGGGAAAGCAGCAGAAGATGGCCCACATCCTTGGGCCCCTGCACCCACGTGGGAGAACCGGAAGAAGCTCCTGGCTCCTGGCTTCTGATAGGCCCAGTTCCGGCCAATGTAGCCATTTGGGGGAGTGAACCAGCAGATGGAAGACCTCTCTCTCTCTCTCTCTCTCTGCCTCTCCTCTCTCTGTGTAACTCTGACTTTCAAATAAATAAATAAATCTTTAAAGAAATTATTGGTTTGAGATAGTGAGGCTAGCAAACACTTGGTGTGCTAACATTTCCATTTTTTAAATGCAAAAGTCATGATTTAATCTCAACAGTTTCACTTTAAAAAAGGAAATTCTATACAATAAGCAACAAAACAGAGTTCAAAGAGAACCTCAAGGAAATCTCAATGGGCCTGAAAATTAAATACATTTTCTTTGTTCTGTTTTTTATTTTTTTCTGGAAGAGTAATTCACTTTGGTATCCTTTAAATAATACGTAAAAAGCCGGCCATGACAGGTGCTACATTCCGTCCGTTCGCTGACGGAGGGGAGAGGGCCTGGAATAGATCGTGGGAGAGCAGCGCATTTGTCAGAGGGAACTCTCTCTCCCGGCTGTTCGGGAGACTTATTCAGCATCTCGCTTTCCCAAGAATAATGGGGTTCCCTCCTGGGGGCCCCTCCCGCCCTCCCCTTTGGATCTTGATTCATAACCTTGTGAAGGGGGATGCTCGAAGCAGATGCAAATCACTTTGCACAGCCCACCGCCATGCGTGCCGGGAGGGAAGGCACCAGTCGCGGGGCGTATTTGTGTCTGACTTATGCCTTACCCAGTAGATCAGCCAAAACAGATAGCTGGGATTAGGAGAAGCCAGACAACCCCAGGTCTCTGCCCAGCGGGGAAGCTTGTAGAACCATGGGTTTCATTTCTATATGAAACCGTATACAATTACTTTATAAAATAAATCTGCGATGGGCTCAGGTTGTATAATTCACCTCCTTACCAAGGTACATGGAAACTTCTACGCTCACCACTCGTGTGCTAAGGCTTCCCACCTACTGCTCGGCTCTGGGGGAGATTCCCTATTTTGGCTGTGCTGTGCTAGTTTCTTAGCCTCTCACAGGGACCAGTAGTGACATGAATGTTCTTGTATGTTCAGTGCTGGTCTGCACCAGCTTCTGGGTGACGGCCATTTTGACAGGTAGAATTTCTGTCTCCTGATAAAACACGGCTATCGTAACAGCAACAGTTGTCAGAAGCACATGACCAGCCAGCGCCGCGGCTCACTAGGCTAATCCTCCACCTTGCAGTGCCAGTACCCCGGGTTCTAGTCCCGGTCGGGGCACCGGATTCTGTCCCGGTTGCCCCTCTTCCAGGCCAGCTCTCTGCTGTGGCCCGGGAGTGCAGTGGAGGATGGCCCGAGTACTTGGGCCCTGCACCCCATGGGAGACCAGGAGAAGCACCTGGCTCCTGCCTTTGGATCAGCGCGGTGCACCGGCCGCAGAGCGCCGGCCGCAGCGGCCATTGGAGGGTAAACCAACGGCAAAGGAAGACCTTTCTCTCTGTCTCTCTCTCTCACTGTCCACTCTTGCCTGTCAAAAATAAAAAAAATAAATAAATTAAAAAAAAAAAAGAAGCAGGTGACCGAGAGCCACTTAAGAGCAAATGACGAGCGCCATAATGTCACCCGCATACGATTTCTGAAATTCCATCCTAATGACCACAACCGATTTGAAGACATGAATGAAGGCTTTTTGGGCCCAAAGAAAGGATGTTTAAAACCACACGAGCAACGCCACACATTTCGCTTGGGAGCCCGAGGCCCAGGAAGGCCCTGCCTGGTAGGTGCTCTCGTCTCCTAAGCTGACTGTACGGTTTCCCCTTGTAACCATGCACAGACGCTGCGGGGTTAAGTCTCCGCCGGTCTCTCACCTGTGCCCACTTCCTCTTCCAGTCTTCGTGGCCATACTTGTCGCTCTCCTTCAGCACCCACTTGTGGCACTTGAGGTGGGCGGGGATGTCACAGAACGCCGTCCCATTTCCTCCGAACTCGCAGTCCATTTTGAAGAGCCAGCGCTGGATCCGCAGGTGATCGGCCACCAGCTGGCTCAGCTGTTCTATCATCTGTGGAGTCCACGACACGGCAACAATTACCCGAGCTAGTGACGTTCTAGGGCTCTTTTGTGTCGTATTAATTCGGTTGGTGTACTCATCTGTCTTTACTTGCAATGGTCTGTTCATCCAGTCATCAATCAATGGGACCAAAGATGCTACGTGGGACACCGACGCCCCACACTGGGCTGCCTGGTTCAGGCCAGCTTCCTGTTCATGTACACCCTGGGAAGCAGCAGGTGCTGGTCCAAGTACATGGGGCCCTACTGCCCAGGTAGGAAACCCAGACTGAGTTCCATGTGGTCCAGCCCCAGATGTTGTGGGCATCTAGTTATTGACCCAGTATATGGGAGACCTCTCTGACTGTTCCTCTCTCTCTCTCTCTCTCTCTCTGCTTTAAAAAAAAAGTACAGTCTTATTTAAGGGAAATTTCAAAATTATCATTTTGCTGACTTTTGAGGCAAAAGAAAGAATCCATGAGCATCTGTAATTGAATCTTGGTACTGTTCTCTTTTTCAGAGAATTATGTGTTTACTTATTGATTTCTCCAGCGATTTTTTTTTACAGTTTCAAGACTATAAAGAGTTATAGTCTTGAAAACTTTAACTGTTTGGAGCTTTGTTGAGCTTTTAAATGTTATAACCTATAAAACATTTCATTTTCTTTCCCTCATTGACATACACAAAATACATTTTGTTTGCCAGAAAGCAGCAAAACAGCATTGCTCGTTGTGTCCAGAAGGCCTACCAGCTTCTTGAATGTGGTGTCCCCAACATGCTCATTCTCAGCCCTTTTCTTGAGTTCTCTTTGCCCACCAAATGGATTTTTCATTATAAAGCATAAAAGGAGGCCGGCACCGCGGCTCACTAGGCTAATCCTCCACCTTGTGGCACCGGCACACCGGGTTCTAGTCCCGGTCAGGGCACCGGATTCTGTCCCAGTTGCCCCTCTTCCAGGCCAGCTCTCTGCTGTGGCCAAGAGTGTAGTGGAGGATGGCCCAAGTACTTGGGCCCTGCACCCCATGGGAGACCAGGAAAAGCACCTGGCTCCTGCCATCGGATCAGCGCGGTGCACCGGCCGCAGCGTGCCGGCTGCGGCGGCCATTGGAGGGTGAACCAACGGCAAAGGAAAACCTTTCTCTCTGTCTCTCTCTTTCACTGCCCACTCTGCCTGTCAAAAAAAAAATGCATAAAAGGGGGCCGGCACTGTGGCGCAGTGGGTTAACACACTGGCCTGAAGTGCTGGTATCCCATATGGGCGCTGGTTCGAGACCTGGCTGCTCCACTTCTGATCCAGCTCCCTGCTGTGGCCTGGGAAAGCAGTAGAAGATGGCCCAAGTGCTTGGGCCCCTGCACCCACATGGGAGACCCGGAAGAAGCTCCTGGATCCTGGCTTTAGATTGGCACAGCTCCAGCTGTTGCGGCCATCTGGGGAGTGAGCCATCAGATGAAAGACTTTCTCTCCCCCCTCCCTCCCTTTTCTCTCTCTGTGTAACTCTGACTTTCAAATAAAGAAATAAATATTTTTAAAAAGCATGAAAGGACTAAAGGTTACAGTGCTGTTGAAGTCTGGAGCTACTCAGTTAGAACGATCTCGACCAGGGGCAGTGTTTGCTGCAGCCGATAGGATGCCTCTTGGAAGTTCACACCCCCTACTGCAGCACCTGGGTTTCAGTCCCAGCTCTGCTTCTGATTCCAGCTCCCTGCTAAAGTGTACTCTGGGAGGCAGTGGGGAACGGACCAAGTATTTGTGGGAGACACAGACCTATTCCTGCTTCCAGCCATCAGCCTGGCCCAGCACCAACTGTGGTGGACATGTGGATAGTGAGCCAGCAGATGAAAGATGTTCGCTCTCTCCTCTCCCTCTCTCTTTCTCTCTCTCCTTCTCTCCCTCTCTCCTCTCCCTCTCTCCTTCTCTCTCTGCCTTTCAAAGAAAAAGAAATAGAAATTTAAGTTTAAATTGATGAAAGGCACCATCTGTTCTCTTGAGTCTGTCTGGCAAATCTCCCTGGGGATACTATACTACGCGGCAGTATGGAGGACATACATAAAATGGCCTCCCTTGCTTGGGGCCCTGGAAGCTCCAAGCAACTATGGGGTATTCAGTAAGGGAGAAAATGGGACTGGTGTAGCTCACTAATTACGAAGCAATGTCTAAGGATAATTTGGGTGTTTAAATGACAAGTACTCTGGTCCCTATGCCATCAGACGATGAACACAACCTGAAAAGGTTTGTAAATGTGCCTTCCAAGGTTGCCTCCCCCCTTTCTCTCCTGAAGACAGATCCAATACTGAATTCTGTGTTGCTGCATCGCGTTGGCCTGCTACCATCAGACACAACCCTTTTGCTGGTTAAAGGAAGGTGTTCTGGCATAGCCTTTTTATGACATATTTGGAAGTGTTGTATATTTCTTTGGAGGTTTCAACTAGGAACAGAATTATTATTTGCTTCTTCCAAATCCTATTATTTGTTGCTTTGGAGAATCCTATAAATGGGCGTTTGTTGATGGATCCCTTACAGTAATGAAAAGGATCAATAGTATTGTAAAGAGCACACCACTGGAAAGAATTATGTGCGATCTTTAAGTGAAAATTGAGCTGTGCTTTAAAATAGCATCGCCATTTTTGATTATTTAACCAAAGCTGTCAATATTTCATAGGGAGCATGTGCCAGACAGAGAACCTGCACTGTTACTTTATGGATCCAAACAGGAAATTCTCACTCCACTCAAGCTAGATTTAGGGAAAAAAATTAGTCACTCATAAACAAAATGACTTATGCTCTCCCGAAACAGTCGTCACTTTCTATTCAAAAGATGCAGTGTATTTTGTAGCCGGGACTCATTGCGTATTGGTGAAGAACAGAGGTAGGAAACGACTCCTGTTTCAACCCAACTGATAGGGATACTTATGAACCGAAGTGAAAACCATCACAGGATTCTTGCATCAGCTTTGAGTCTGCAATGCAAGTCGGTAACAAGTTGGTGTTGTCGATTTATCACCGTCTATGGATTCAAACTGCTGACACTCAGAGAGAGTGGGCAGGGCAGGCGCTATCGGGGAGAATCGTGGTGGAGTATTTCGATTCTTGATGACCTCAGACGCACGCTTTCCAAACAAGCAGGGTAGAACTGAGTTATGCAGTGTATAGGCATGCAATTTTCGCCTACCATAGATCAAATAACATTCCTCGAATCTGATGCATCTACAAGGAGGTTTTCAGTCTTACTTCTGAATACGGCTTTAGAGAGAGGTTGCACTGTACTGAAAGAGCCAGCATCTTTAACCACCATCAGCATACAAAGTTCTAGAATATTCCATAATGGAAACTGCCAGGTTTCTGGCCAGAGAAGGTGAACACAAGACTCAATATAAATATTGCACAGGGATTTTAAAGTCGGTAAGACTGTTGAATGTACAATGCACGTGAGGAATCGCGTCATTTAAAAATAGAGTTCTTGCATATTAAGTCTACTAGCCAAAAAGTCTCTGGTCATCTTCAAACTCCAGTGGGGGTGGGTGACAATGGAAGAGCCACAGCAGCCCTACGTATCGCCCAAGAATGCTCTCACAACAGGGAAACACGGCAGGGCAATTCAGTAAGCTCACCATGTTTTTGAACCAGTCTCTGCAATGGATGATTTTGGGGGCAGGGTGGAGCTCAGCAGCTATGAGGTGCAGACTGAGGGTAGCAGGGGGACCCCTCTACTTTGCCCCCCTCAAAATGGCTTCACTGTGCATGGTCCCCTGGTTCCTCAAGAAGTGGGTAGGCGGGGAATCATTTGCTGCCAGCTCAGAGGGATGTACGGAAGCAGAGGTTAGGAAATGTTAACGGCCATTTGTCTTTTAATTTTCTTTCTTATGAAAACAGATGGCAGTTAAATGGGAGAACACCTGCCAGCGCTAACTCACAGAGAAAGCATTTCTAGGGGCTAAGAGAGCTCTCTGCAAGTATCTTGGGCCCTAACTACCTGCAGGGGGACTGTGACAGCCACAGACCCGGTCCAAGGCAAAATCCCCAGCAGAGAGTTCTATTCCTTGGAACCATTCCGCTTCCCCTCTTCGGGCTCTCTCCTCGCCTCCCTTTGGGTCCCTTCCCAAGCATTCAATACAGGGCCATAGCTCTCTGCAGCCCTCTGCAACCTGACCCAACCAAGACGCTCACTCTCCGGCGCTTTTCCAAACCTGCTCCTTTTAGCCAAAACCCCACTCTCACACTTCACGGGAGGCCTATGAAAACACTGGCCAGCTGATAGAAGGCTGAACTAATCCATGCTCAGTCATGAAACAGGGATAGCAGATTAGCCCACATGATATACAGGGTCTTCAGTGTCTCGATCCAAATGAGGAAACGCTTGGGAAATTCTAGTAATTTCTGCAAGACCAATAGGGAAGACTTCCTGGAGATCCCCTAAACCAACCCAGGTATTCCACATATTCATTGGGTAGGGGGGTAGCACTGCATCAAGAGGGTGCTAACCATCTGGACAGATCCACTTGTCCACACCACGTACCTGTTGGTAAGTATAGATGTCGTGTATTCCAGGAGGGACGGGCACACCTGTGCTGTCAAAGACCCGTTTGCTTCCAGACTTTTTACTGTAAAGGTGGACGAGCCCAGGCTCCGAGCCCAAGATGGGCACATCCAACATATCGGCCACGGCCAAGTCGTCTCGGTGGAGGACCCCGCCCACGATGTAGGCCTCCTTTCCTTGGATGAGGTTTTTTATTCTTTTGATTGCCTTGGGACTGTACATCAGGTGAGTGGCCAGGCACATGTGATGCTTCTGGGGGAAGGGAGGAGGGAGACCATATTATCCCTGTTAAAAGCTGTCCATTTGCTAGTCCATACATCTCATTTACGACGTTGCATGCAATAAATACATTATTAATAGCAGCCCGGGTGATGACCTATCCTGTTGTTGAGCAGTTTAAATTGATCAAAGCTGCTGGAGTGAGGTTGCATAATCGCTCACATCTTTAGTGTGTGGGAAATAGGCTCACTGGGAATAGAACTAATTACTACACATCTGTATTTATTTGATCCACGTGGAATTATCCTTCTGTCAGAAGGAAAAGAGGCTGGCGGCCTTTGGATAATAGTGATTCATCTCTGCAACTCTTCTGGCATGGTTTAACACTAAAGCGTCTGGAAAATCAATACAAAAAATGAAGAAGAAAACCCCACAGTATTCTCCACTACTCAGACTCCCGATCTGGCAACTCTCTGCTCCGGTGGGAAAAGGCGCTTGACTCGAGACCCTCTTTCCAAAATTCTACCACATTTCAGAAAACAGGCATTTCTACAGCGATGGCTCACAGGGGTCTAGCCAGTGGTTCTGGAAAAGATTCGTGAACGGAAAACAGTTGCAAATTTCAGCAAGTCTCTGGAGCCTTTTCTAAAAATACAAAAAAACACCCACCACCCTCCTTATTTTATTTTTGACTAGTTACACCCAGCTCAGCCGTATGAGTCCATGTGACTGTCTCATTCAATTAAATAAAGAATCCTGGCATGTCTAATAGACGCAGAGGCTGGAGCCAGATGGTCAGCCCACAGCTAAACTAATACAACCATGTTGCTGCTTTCAAGGAGTGGGTACACAAACAAGAACAGAGAACACAGAACCAACACAAGACAGCTGAGGGCCACTGGAGCTATCAGGTGCCTCCGGGGTATGGAAGAGCGAGGCAGAGGTCATGAACCGGGAGAAGGGGCTGAGAAGGCAAAGTGCTCACTCTCCTGGGCCCTTGGTTTCTTCACACAGCCACCCTGGAGGGACGCTGGGAGGCGGCAGTGAGATAATGTGTGCGAAGCCCTTCCAACAGTGCCTTGGACATAATGAGCGCCAACTGAGTGGCAGCCAGTATTGTCACTGGGAAGAAAACTGGGGTTGAGGTACTTTTTGCAGATAGGTTGGCTTCTACCGGGTGGAGATGGGCCTAGGAGAGCCATTAGCTGAGGACGGAATAGGATAACTCAACACGGTGTTGACTTCCCCTGAGAAGTGGACAGCATGGCACACAAGAAAGTGCTGGGGTTTTGAAGCCAGGCAGATCTGGATTTGAATCCGGCTCTTGGCTACATGAACTTAGGCAACTGGCTTAGAGTCCCTGGGCCCGTTTCTTCATCTGATAAATGGGACTAAAACTATCCATTTGCTGGGTTCCTGTACGATCACGCATAAAAAACATTCAGTACAATGCAAGGCATTGGGTCAAGTGCTCAATAAATGGTAGTAATTATTATTAGGGAGAAACCTTCCTCTCTAAAAAGTCATTAAAATGTCACGCAAATAAGACAACAGTAGGGTGCTGCAATCTTCAGGGGGTTCAGGTCTTACAGACTAGCACCTGCCCCTCTAGACCTCGTGACAAATGATCAGCCAGCTCAGAATGGCAGCGTAGAGAAGTGTGTTTCCCGGAACAGCCAATGAACCAGTCTGCCAGCTGTCGGAGGGTGCAGGGACTCCTGAGTGTCGGAGAATGAGACTTGCTGGGGGAGAAGCCCCTGGGTTTCAGTCCTGCTTGAGTTTGTCACTTGCTGGTGCTTTTGAAAACTTGATCTTTCTGAGCCTCAGTTCCCCACGGTCAAAGGAGGGGCTGGACTCTAACCCTGAGATAACTTTCCCTTTAAAACCAGCATTCCCGTGGACTTACTGTTACTGGTGAGAGTCCCTGCTTGGGATGATGGAAAGTTCTGGAAATGGACTGGTGGTGATGGCTGTAGGTGAAGGCAGATGTATTTAATGCCAGTGAACTGTGTGCTTAGAAATGGCTACACTGGGGCTGGCGCTATGGCATAGCAGGTAAAGTTGCCGCCTGCAGTGCCAGCATTCTGTAGGGGTGACAGTTCGAGTCCCAGCTGCTCCACTTCTGATCCAGCTCTCTGCTATGGCCTGGGAAAGCAGTAGAAGATGGCCCAAGTCCTTGGGCCCCTGCACCCGTGTGGGAGACCTGGAAGAGGCTCCTGGCTCCTGGCTTCTGATTAGTGCAGCTCCTGCTGTTGTGGCCATCTAGGGAGTGAACCAGTGGATGGAAGACCTCTCTTGCTCTCTGTAACTGTACTGCTTCGGCCTCTCTGTAACTCTGCCTTTCAAATAAATAAATAAAATCTTTAAAAAAAATGGCTGGGCTATTGTCTCAACTCTTGAGGAACAGTTTTTTTGTTTTGCTTTGGTTTTTGTTTTTTGTTTTTTGTTTTTTTTTTTCCCCATGCAAATTGTTGAACTCTTTACTTAGTATAGTGTTGGTCTTCTGTGTATAAAGTTAATAAAAAATGGATCTTAGTGGAGAATGGGACTGGGAATGGGAGAAGGAGGAGAGGAGGAGGTGGGAGAGTAGGTGGGAGGGTGGGTATGGTGGGAAGAGTCACTATATTCCTAGAGTTATACTTATGAAATGCATGAAGTCTGTATTCCTTAAATACAAGGTCTCTTTGGGGAGAAAAATAAATAAAAAATTAAAAAATTTAAAAAAAATAAAGAAATGGCTGGGCTGGTGACTTTCATGTTATACATCTTTTACTACAATTTTTTTTCTTAAAGGCAAAAGCAGAACTCTTTTGAGAGGAGGCTTGATACGATTTACTCTACAGGGCCCTCCTTCAGATTAGCAGTTCTCATTGTAGACTCAGGTCTAGTCAACAGGCCCTCTCGGCCATGATGTCAGCCCGTATTTGGAGCACACTTCTGAGAGCAGTGTGCAGTAGACACTGGCTAATGCCAGCGCTTGGTAGGGTTGTGCTTCCCAGCTGGTTGGTCACTGCCTTTCTCCTTTGATTATTTCACCATTTTCCTTTTCCCACAAATCCAATGAGGAAACACACGCACACACACACACGCACACACACGCTGATGTGCAGAACTGGTTATGATGTCTGCAGCAGGCTTTTGCTGCAGCTGCAAGAGTATCACACGGCAGCCAGCCTGCCGGGGTTGAAGAGTAGAAGGGCAACGCCTTGGACACTGTTCTCTCGCGGGATCTGGGCCGCACCATATCCATTCACAGTCTGTCTCGGAGATGAGGAAATTGAGGCTCTAGTGATTTGCCTGGGGTCACGCAGCCAGGAAACAGCAGAGGCAGGATTCGAACCCAGCTGGCACAGCTGGCGTGCCGCCGCTGCCGCCATCCCCTCTCCACACAGGGAGGGGCGGAGGGCTGGTGCGCTGGTGGGATGTGCAGCAAGGGCAGCAGATGCAGCCGTAGGACCTGATGGTTACGCTCCGAGAGCATTTCCAGCCAGGATGGGTTTGCGTCCCCTGCAGGCCTGCTTCTTCTGCTCCAGTGTGTCGGCGGGGTCATCTGCGGGTGCGTCTTGTTCCTCAGGCCAGGTGGTGCGGTGCATTGTGGGCAGTGTGTGTTTCACGAAGAGTCGGATGTGAGCGAGTGATGGTCGTGGACACATTACTGACCGTAGGTCTTGGATGGCCATTTGGAAAAGATCACTGCCATCGGATCCCGCCAGGGCATGAGCACAGCTGACCAAAACCTGAACTGTTCCTAACTCCGCTGCAGTATGGCGACATTGAGTTTATCACTCCTTATTGTCTTTCTTCGACCTGGGACAAACGGTAGCTGTTGAAGATGTCATTGTAAACATTAAAATGTCCAAAAATAGACAGGATGACTTTTGGAAGAGCACGTTTTACCATTAGAAATTCAAGCAGTGTGCAGTCTCTTGGAGAGATGTACAGACAGATTTTTGGCACGCTTTTAAAAAACTCCTCAAAGCCATCCATTTGAATGAAAATCAGCACTGATACAATCTCTCAAACCCATTAAAAAGAAATAAAGCCACAGCTAAAACATGAGCAGGAATTGATTTGAAAGCAAGAGTTTAATTTTTGTATTTTAAAAAGTCGATTGCCTATGAGTGATTAATTACTCAAATAATTTAAACGCAAGCTATGAGGGGAAGTGAGACAAGTTCTTTAAACCTTGTTTCTCCGAGTAGAGCTACAAATCCCCACTGTGCCCGTAACTCTGTGAGCGCTACCAAGGGCCCAGCCTGCCTGGGAGGGGCAGGGAGGCCTGGGAAGGGGAAGATTCTCAGACAACAGGATTACAGAGTCGGAGACGGCTCTAGAATTATCTAATCCATCACCACACTTTATAGATGAAAAGCAGGAGTCTAGAGGGGGTAAAGGGGCTTGCCCAAGGTCACCAGGTCACCAGGAGCAAAGCGGCCATCCCCATTCCTGCCGACGTCCTGGGGTGGACAGATCTTGGTTCACACTCTGGCCCTAGCAGTAACCTTGGACTTGGAAATGAGTCTTGGCGTCCTCAGCCATAAAGGGAGATGGACCTTTTCTGACTCGCTGCGCTGTTCTCAATGCAAGGGAGAGTTTTCTAAACCTCGGCGAGCTCTCCGCTCCTTCTCCCTCTGCTCTCCCGGCCTCCTCGAGCTGGGCAGGCTTTGCCGATGGGCAGAGTCCTTCTTAGCAGCTGGCAGGCACTAGCTTGAGCGTCTGCCTGGAGGCAGTCGGGGCTTGAACGGAACACGGGTGCTGCTTCTTGTCCTTCCCCGCCTCCTAATGTCCACAGTAGCTGTGCCACGGTGCCAGGCAATAGCCAGGGAGCACCGAAGACATGTTGGTGTGGCGGACGATCTGGAAGGTTCCCAGGAGTCTGAGCGGTGGAGTCTGTCCCCGGTCCTTCTGTTGCTTTTCCAGTCCGACCCTCACCTTCCTCCTCCTCCATAGCCAGTGGTGCCGAGGGGCTGCAAGAGGCTTCTGGGGCAATACTGATGGATCTAGTTATGGAGAAAAACCAATCTTCCACACGAGAGGGGAATAAGCCTCGGTCACAATTCACTGAGCACCGAGCGAAGAAGAGATGCAACCGCAGCCCTGCTCCGTCTGTGCCGTTTCTCAGGTGCCCTTGTGCCTTCTGCCCTGTTTTTTCTTTTTCTTTGTTTGGGTCAGTCGTGGTGTATCCGAAGCGCTCACGGTAGTGACCAGCATATAGATGCTTCCTATGAAAGCAGCAGTGCCTCTGGTGACGACAGACAGCGAGTTGACTCTGGTGCATCCCAATTGTACACGGAGGGAGTTATCTTCGTCCGGAAATTCAGAGGCCTTAGTTACACCAAACAAGAACAGCTCCTTAACTTTGCATAGCCCACAGAGCAGGTATGTTTCGTCTAGAGTTCAGGTGCCTGTATTGGAGTACCATTGGAGTACCTGGCTTCGATTCCCAGCTCCAGCTCCTGCTCTAACTTCCTGCTAATGCAGCCCCCAGGAGGCCGTGGTAATGGCTCCAGGTTTTGGATTCCTGCCACTCACATGGGAGACCTGGATTTTAATTCCACCTGCTGATTTTGGCCCTAGTCAAAGTTCCAGTTGTTGTGAGTATTTGGGGAGTAAGCCAGCACACGAGAGCTTTCTCTCTCAATTCAACTCTCTGCCTCTCAAACAAACATATTTTTTATAAGATTTGCATAGCCCATTAGGAATTAAAATGTTGGTTGTTTACATGGAAAGCTTAATTTCTTGTTAAAATGCAGAGGAATTCATTTCAAGTTGTCTGTTAAACTGCCTTATTCACGAATTCTTATTCATGAATTTTCCAAAGGCTCTTGTCTAGGGATAATTTGTTCTGTTCATTAAAAACCAGTACCAGTTAAGAGAAAAACTCTGGACCTTGTTCACGATGAACCACGCGATGTGGCAGATTTTCAGGCCACAGTCTCTGGAGGGAAAATAACCGCCGAGAAGCAGAGTCCGGGTGCAGAGGTTAGAGAGCAGGGGCCTGGGGCCGGTGCTGTGGTGCAGCGGGTGACGCTGCCTGCAAGGCCAGCAGCCCGTATGAGCACGGGTGGGAGTCCCGGCTGCTCCACTTCCCATCCAGCTCCCTGCTAATGCCACTGGGGAGGTAGCAGAGGATGGCCCACGTGCTTGGGCCCCTGCACCCACATGGGAGACCCAGATGGAGCTCCAGACTCCTGCCTTCAGCCTGGACCAACCCAGGCCACTGCAGCCACTGGGGGAGTGAACCATTGGATGGAAGATCTCCCCCTCCCCCAATTCTCTTCCTCCTTCTCTCTCTCTCTCTTTTACTGTCTCTCTCTCCGCCCCCCCCCCTTTCTGCTTTTTGAATAAAATAAATAGCTCTTTTTAAAAACAGCAAAGAAAGCAGAGCCTGGTCCAGATTCTGTCCGTAAATGTCTTTGCGACTGGGGCAGGTGTCCTCCACCAAGAAACAAGAAAAGGCCACAGCAGACGTTGGAAGCTCACCTCCTCCACGGCACCACCCAACAGCTGCAATTAGGCTTCCGCCTCGGAGAGACGGGGCAAGGGGAGCTCCGCTAAGTCCGAGAGCTAAACGGGGATATTTATTTCCTGCAGCCCAACTAGTCGTCGAAATCAGTAAAGCTGTTAATCTTGCAATACTACTTCACTGATGTGTACCAGAGCGTGGCAAGTTATAAAATTTCCAATTTAATTTTATAGCATCCCTGAAGCCGTAGTAATTAGAAGACACACTCACAGTGAAGATGTTCACGGCTTCAGGGGTGATGATCTTGAACCTGTCCTGCAAGTCACTTCTGTCCTCGGTGTTGCCCGATTTGACGGCAGCGCGCAGACTCAGGATTTTTTGGTAATACAGCATCAACTCCTCGTCCATGTCGTGGGAGCAGATGTAGATGACGTTCACGTTGGTATCTACGGACAGCAGGTGCAGAGTTACTGACTGCCATCAAGGTACATGGCCCCGCGAACTCCGGCCCCCCATGGATGCTGTGCAGTCACGCTGAAGTTCATCTACACTGGCTGGGTACACGTCTTGCCAATCTAATGGGCTTTTTTTTTTTTTTTTTTGCACTTTAGCATTTCTCCAAAGAGAAGGAAAAAAATAATAATAACCACCACCACCAAACTTGAGGCAAGGACTCCTTCCCAGACAGAGCTGCGAGGGTCCTTTCAAATAACAAGCAGGGATCTAGCCACACGATTCCCATTAACAAGCCTGAGAACTGCATACTGCTCTCAAGAGTTAGCCATTAACTTCAGCACATTATAAAACAAGAGCTAGTAACTTTGCAAAGCTGATGAAATCGCAATTTCTTATTCTGCCCGGATTTGACGGGGCCAATTCAGGCAATGTCCTGACTGTGAGCACAGCCATGAGTATTTCGGGAAACCAGCCCTTTCCCTTCCCACGCCCCAGAGGGGTCTACTCCCGACAGAGCACATGTGGCAGTTCTGGTTTTAAAGGAGATACTGTCCTCCCTTGTTCTCCTTCAGACGGGCTCCTAATGATGCAGTGTATAGAAAGAGAGCCTAATTCAGTGTCCCATCTGCAAGCTGCACATCACTTTAGGGAGCAGGAAAGGGAAATGGGCAGCCAGGAGAGGCGTCCCTCTGTCCCTTCGTTCACTCATTCGGGAAGCAGAGGACTGACGGGTCGGGGAAGGCACCCGGCTGGACACAGGGGAAGCCGGACCACGGAAGCGAGTGCGGTGCTGCCCGTGTGGGGTGACCACCGCACACACGCAGGCAGCTGTGACACCTGGTGGGAAGCCCTGGACCCCGGGGGGGAAGCTGGGTGCCTGGAGCCCCTAGTGAAGTGCGGGGCAAGGAGTTCCTTGGGCAGATGGGGCGAGAGGGGGATTGGCTACAGGGCAGAGGCTGATGAAGTCCTGGGGCAGCCTCCCACGGCCCCGGGGATCGTGATTTGAGCTTTCGAAGTGTGCTTTCTTCCTGTGCAGGACCCGGGGAGGGGTGCAGAGAGTGTCACCTGGAAGACTGCACATAAAGCTGCTGCCGCAGGGTCTGGCCGGGAGTGAGCGCTCAGTACATGGCGCTGGTGCCGGAACCTGCTCCACGGCCCACTGACTGGGCCCACAGGGATTCTCCCCGGCCCCCTACACTGGCCCTCCCTTGGATCAGAGCCTCAAGAGTTAACGCCCGGATGGGCTGTCCTCTGCTGCTCGGTTCTACTGTTTCAAATCTATGCATCTTGTCTGGCCAAGCTCCACAGGGGTGATGTTCATCCTCTTTCCTCTCTCCCGCCCAGCCCTCGTGCAGTCCGTGGGGCTCACTCATCAGAGCCTCCCGAGCTGGCCGAGTGACTTGGGAGGACGAGGAACGGACACCTGTATACCCTCAGTGAGCTCCGCGACATGCAGGAGAAATCTGCTCCCTGTCCACAGGCTTGGAGGCCATGTCTTCTGAACCAGCCCAGGGCTGGGCCTGGAGTAGGTGCTCCACACAGGGTGACACTGAAGTGCTCCCGTTTCATTGGGAAATCAAACTGCCATATATACTGAGCAATTAATCGAGGAGCAACCAATCAAATAGCTTGCATCCACTTGCTAAATGACTCGATTAGTTATCTCGCTGGTGCTCCCTACAACCAGAGCAGGGAGGCTTTTTGGTTTTTGTTTGCTTGTTTCTAAGTATAAAAGAATTGGACATAAAACATCACAAATAGAGGCCGGCACTGTGGCGTAGTGGGTAAAGCTGCTGCCTGCAGCACGGGTGTCCCATATGGGTACCAGTTCAAGTCCCGTCTGCTCCACTTCTGATCAGGCTCCCTGCTAATGCACCTGAGAAAGCAGTGGGAGATGGCTCAAGTGCTTGAGCCCCTGCACCCACGTGGGAGACCCGGAAGAAGCTCCTGGCTCCTGGCTTCAGATCCGCACAGCTCTGGCCATTGTGGCCATCTGGGGAGTGAACCAGCAGATGAAGACCCCCCCACCATCCTTCCCTACTCCTCTCTCTGCCTCGCTGTAACTCTGCCTTTCAAATAAATAATCTTAAAAAAAACACACACACAAATAGTAGAAGGAAAATAACAGTTTCTTGGGAAGCAATCTCAGGGTTACAAACGATAAGAAATCACAGAGCCCCTTCTGCATTCCTGTTGACGTCTGCGAAGAGAGCAGGTCTCAGCCACCCTAATGCCCAGTGGTAGTGCGTCTCATCACGAGGCCACAGAGGCTCACAACTAACCGGTAGGTCATTTTAGAGAGAAATTGACCTGCAGATGAGAGTCACTTTCATCGCTAGTCAGAGCTCGGATTGCTAGTCGACGGCTACTAGTCAGCTGTCGCTTCCTTGTTTAACACGCATGGGGACTGGAAGCACCGGGCCTAGGAAGTGCGTATCCTGACAATTCTGCCTGCACGGCCAACAGCGAATGACCAAAGTCCTCCCAGTGTGACTGGATTATCATTGTCTCCCCTGAATAAGCAGAGGAGGGAACACGTATTCCCAGCAACTAACGGAATAGAAAAAGAATAGTTCTTCTTCCCCCAAATTATTATTCACTGCCCTAGTTTCTTCAGATTTTTATTTCACAATTAAGTACTTTTTCTTGACTCCCCCTGATATTTCTAAACTTCCATTATGGCTTTTGGTGGTTTTCTATCATGAAGATGGTGTCTCAAGAAAAGGCAGACTTTCCGAGAAATGTCCACATTAGCAGAATTTCCCACTGCAGGTGGACATGATGCACGTGGAGTAACTTAAAAATAGAAGCCCAATACATTCCAGTCTTTTCTAATAATGAGACTTTTTTTGGAAAGAAATTCTTCAGTGATGACTTGCGCTATATATAGAAAGGTATATAAAAAGCTGGAGGAAAGAAATTAATTCAGATAAATTACAGCCAAGTCTGCCCTCTGCTGTACTTGAGTGGTTTCCATCCAGTCAGGTTTTTAGCTGAAGTCGCTCAGTACTAACAAATCAATCTCAAGTCATTAAGAAAAATTTTTTTTGTAATGCCAAAAAACAATATTAGTGCCTCGATAATAGATTAAAGCAATTATACTATTATTATTTTAGGACACTGTAAATTTCCAGTACTGATGTATTTTTGCTACCACACGGCATTTATAAAATAATAATGATGCTGAAATATACATGAATCATGAAAAGTATGTCATTCCAGGGAGCCAGCTCAGTGTGGTCACTGATAATTTAAAATTCTTCCTTGTTTTGCTTAAATAAGGGCCAGAGCAATTCTATTTTAACAAAACAAAGACATTCTTATTTGATCACTAGTATTTTTGTCTGACCCTGAATGTTTGGCCAGTGTCTCCCTAACTGATTCGGTGTTGTAGCGCGGCCTCTGCAAGCTATGCTGCTCAGCTGGCCCCTGGCCAAGGCCAGTGGCAAAGCCGGCACATTCAGGCATTCTTCTCACCCAGGTGGGTGCCTGACGGAGAACCGGTCCAACCAGTATCAGAATTTGACTGACACAGAGGTGGCTCCATCACCCAGTCTCAAGCATTCTTTCCACCAGATATTTATGCCTTCTAATAACTAGATGCTCTATATTTAATCAAAACTGCTTTTAGAAAATCTATCTTCTCTTATATAAAACATCTAGTGAGGCTTGCTGCGTGACCCATCCCGAAAACAATTTCTTCTTATAAAGACTTACCTGTAAAATAAAAAAAGGAAAAAATTAAATGTTTTTAAAATCCCTAAAAAAAAATCCATCTTCATTATCCTCTTATTCTCACAATGGAAGCACAATGCTTTATTTCTGAGACCACCTTCTACTTATTCCCCAGATAATGTAACAGACAATATTGGCACAAGTATAAAATTCTGACTTCTCTCTCCTAAGGAGACAGCAAAACAGAAATGATTTTGGCCTATTGGAGAGGAATTCTTATCTGAACCTACAGCAGGCAGAATTTAGAAGACTGCCTAGGTGACTGGTTAAAGTGTCATTCTTTAACATCCAGATGGACTTCATTAGAGATCATTAGAATTAAACATTCAATTGCCCTGAATTTTTTCTTCTGGAGAAAAAGAGTAACCAAAATAAATAATAAATAAAAAAGAGAAACATTGTATCGATATCCAGGCTCCACCCTGCCAAGCCTCGCAGGTGTGGGCCACATACTGTACCGATGATGTCGCATAGCCTGCCCAGCTGCATGTTCTGCTGTGTGCTGAGGTCGGCGATGCGCTCCCGCACAGACTGGGCATATCCTAGAAGGCAAACAAGGTGTCAGAACCCGGAAGGAGCAAAGTCAATACAGCAAAACGCCACAGAGAGCTTCAAAATGCCACAGAGGCCACACTTCGGGGGGTGGGGGGGGAGCCAGTGTCGGCTGCAGCTTCTTGCAGAAGCCATGCCTCTTCCCAGAAGGAGGTGTTGGCTTCTCCAGGGATTAAGCCTGAGTCTGGAAGATGGCTAAGCAGCAGATCTTGCAACCAAGAGTTTTCTATTTCCAAACACCCACAAGGCTGTGGAGAACCAGGATTGCAAAACCACAGAGAAAAGTTCTGACATTGAACGTGACTGTTCAAAATTGGTATGGAAGGAAATTATGCTTAGGTTTAAAAAAATCATTTTTTTAACTTGTGCTTCTGTATGGGGGCATTGTGAAGAAGAGTCTGAGAATCATTCTAAAGGGACACCCAGGTTTCAGATAAACCCTTCCGTCAGGAATGAGTACTGAAGTCATTGTAACACTAAAAAGAGCCAGGTTTCTGCTCTCCGTCCAAAGAACTTTTAACCTTGAAAGGACAGAAAGGTGAATGGTTATTTTGTCAGTATGAACGAAAGTCCCATCAGTTGCCTTGGTTTCCACTGGAAACAGAGCAAAAGGAAAATACACATGGGTTACAAAAATCGGCCACAAAACACAACAGCACAGCAACACTCTCCGTGACTTTAGATCTTAAGAAAAGTGGATCAAAATGTGAATTTAAAAGCCAAGCACACTCATAACTGCTTATATGAAACTTAGCAACTACAGGATGCAGTTTTTTAATTTTTTTTTAAGTACAGTTGCTTTTCACGTTTTGAAGGGATGCGCCAATGCCTCCTTGAGGTCAGTGAGCCCAACACGCGTTTCAAGTTCAACTACTCTAGGTAAAGTGATTTTTGTATACTCTGTCCTCAGGATGTGACACAGATTTCCTTTTCAGCACAAGAAAAACTACAGCAATGCAGACAACAGGGCTTCAGACCAAATGAACTCTGGTAATTGGCTCTTTACTTTGATGTCAGTGTTTAAACTCGAGACGATGTCTGGAAATTAAATCAGTTTTCAATTCATCTGAAAGTCTTGCCTTTTGCTTTATGCATATGAACTTGAGAATTAAAGAGGCAGAAGGACAAATGGGCTGTTGGAATTATGTTTGAAAAATTATTAATTTCACTAATGATGTAGAGAACCACTCTGTGTGAAGACTGATGTAGGTGGCTACAATTGCAATGCCTTTGTGATTCCAATATTGTAACTCGTGAGACTTTGCATGTGTGTAATTCTATCTATATTCAGATAAATGTTTAAAAGGGTGCATTGTGAAGAACGTATGTATCAAGACCATAAGAAGGCAGGAAAAATGTGTAAAGAAGAAAGGATGATTACTAAAAGTCCCTGAGTGCCTTCTATGAATGCAAGTCCTTTCAAAAGTCAAGATAAAAGGCAGAGTGGAGATGTCTCATTAAGGCCATGTCCAATTTGAAGCAGCAAAGATGTCTGATCACTTTGTTGCCACAGGTGCAGCACTGAATGTTGCAATCGAGTGCCTGAGGTCGGTTTTCCTACAAATTACTCGGTACCTCTGTTTGCACTGATCAAGGATGTGTAGTAAGTGTCTACACGGTGGCAGGCGCTTGACTTATCCAGTAGGAGTGCCTGCTGGAGATGCCCTCACCCTACATAGGTTTGAGTCCTGGCTCAACTCCTGACCCCAGCCAGCTTCCTGCTAATGCAGACCCTGGGAGGCAGTGGTGATGGCTCCAATAACTGGCTTCCGGCCACCTGTGGGAGACCTGGACTGAGCGCCCAGCTTCCAGCTTCAGGCCCTGCCCAGCCCCAACCATTGCAGGCACACAGGAGTGACCTAGCAGATGGCAGCCCTGTCTGTCTCTCCAAAAAACTAAAACAAAAACCAAAAACAACTCTACACAGCATTATGGCAGAACTGGTACTAGATAAGGATGCTCAGGTGAGCGCCTTTGTCTCTCCCCCCATCTAACTCTACTAGCTATTTCACAGTTCCAATATTAACCGTTTAGCTCTTGTGACAAATAAAAAAGACAAGACTCTCCAAGTGGGAACAGGGAAGAACTCCAGAGGGGACAGAGAGCGCTGAGTCTTCCCACTTTCATTTTCCATTGCTGTGGTAGGCAGAATCACAGCACGCCCTAACCTCCAGAGCCTGTGAATATGCTAAGTGACAGGGCAAAGGGAAATAAGGGTGCAAATGGAAGCAAGGTTGCTGATCAGCTGACCCTAGAATAAAAAGATTATCTTGGGGGCTGGTGCTGTGGCATAGTAAGTTAAGACTCCACCTGTGGTGCCCGCATCCCATATGGGTGCCAGTTTGAGTCCTGGCTAATCCATTTTCCACTTCTGATCCAGCTCCTTGCTAATGGCCTGGGAAAGCAGTGGAAGATGACCCAAGTCCTTGGGCTCCTGCATCCACATGGGAGACCTGGAAGAAGCTCCTGGCTCCTGGCTTCAGATCACTGCAGCTCCAGCTGTTGCAGTCATTTGGGGAGTGAACCAGTGGATGGAAGATCTCTCTGTCTCTGTCTCTCCCTCTCTCTGTCTGTAACTCTGCCTCTCAAATAAATAAATAAATAAATCCTTAAAAAAATAGAGATTATCTTGGGGGCTGGCATTGTGGAACAGCCAGTTATGCCGCTGCTTGTGCAGGTGGCAAACCATCCTGGTGCACCAGTTCAAGTCCTGCCTGCTCTGCTTCCAGACAAGCTCCCTGCTAATGTGCCTGTGAAGGTAGTGGAAGAAGTGGGAAACCAGAGTGGAGACCAGAGTGGTGCTTCAGCCTGGCCCAATGCCAGCCATTGTGGCCATATGAGAAGTGAACCAGTGGATGGAAATGGCCACTCTGAGGGCCTGCAGCAACAGTTCTAAACCTTCTTCCCACTTTGGAACACGTGACTGGTGCACAACACCTTCCCAGGGCATTCCAGGGTCACAGCAGCAGCAGTAGTGACTCCACCCCTTTCTCTTCCACTCAAGAAACCACACTGGAGGCAAACTGAGCAAAAGGAAACACTATTGCAGAGATAATCTGGAATTGCCCCAATTCATTAAGAAAAAAGTTGGTATTCTAATGGTAAAAATAGAAGGAGACCCATGACGTATTTCACAAGTGATTGCACGCTGGCATATTGTGAGAGCATGATCTAGAGAGCTGTGATTCAGGCATTATGGCTATGCCCAGGTCTTCATTGCTTGTGACAGTGTGAAAGCACACTTGCAATACTAGAGCTCAAGACAGGGAGAGACCAAGAGAGAACAAGAAAGATCCTTAGGAGCCGGCAACTGTGGCACAGTGGGTAAAGCTGCCACCTGTAGTGCCAGCATTCTGGCTGTTCCACTCGAACCAGCACCCACATGGGATGTCGGCACTGAAGGCGGCGGCTTTACCTGGTACGCCACAGCGCCACAGCGCTGGCCCCCAGACAGAAACCTCTGCCCCTGGATCAGTTCCTGCAATGCTCACAACACCAGGGGCTGGGCCAGGCCAAAAACCAGGGGCCAGAAACTCAATCCAGGTCTCCCATGTGGGTGGCAGGGGCCCAAGGACTTGAGCCATAGCCTTCTGCCTCCCAGGGTGCACATTTGCAGGAAGCTGGGTTGGAAGTGGAGCTGGACCTCAAACCCAGGCACTCTGATGCGGGATGTGGGTATCTTAACCGCTGAGTCAAACGCCTGCCCCAAGGACATTGCCTTGTTCAAACCTTTGTAAGTGGCTAGCACAGCACAGCAGGTAACCAGAGCCAGTGATTCTCTCAAGTTGTGGTCTGAGGATCAGAGGGGTCCTGAGTCCTTCCAGGGAGCCTGCAGGACTGAGCTATTTTCAAAAGGATCCCAGGATGTTACTTGTGTTCTTCAATCATACTCACTCGTGATACTGATATGATTTCAGTTTCCACTGGCACTTAGAAATATCATTATTGAGTTTAATACAACGTCAGAGAAAAACAACATAAATACCAGAAAAGACTACAAGTACATTAAAAATAGTCTTCCTTTATCTAAATACTTGTCTGTGCAGGGCCAGATTTTCTTCATTTGCCTTATCTGAAACAAGCGTACTGCGACAGACTGAACACAGAAAGGGATGAGAACCAAGCACGTGTTAGTAAGAGATCTGTCCGACAATGCTGCTCTTCTCACTGAGGCATTTTTTGTTGTTGTTTTGCCAAATAGTTACCTTTTCATTAAAAATATGCCATTTAGGCTAATACTGGTAATGGATTTATTTACTGTTATTTTAAAATAAGTTAATAACTATTTTAATTGATTTTTCTTTTTAATCGACGTGATGACACATATAGTTATGGGGTATGTGATAATTCAATACATGGATACAATCTGTAATGGTGAAATGGTGCATTCCTTGGGAGAACGAATTTTAATTTTAGTTGAGCTAAAAAGAAACTTGAAAGAGTGAGTGTATTTTGTTCCTGTTCCCCCCAAAATCTGGATAGTTCTGGGAACCACTCTCTGGGAGGCCTCAGCAGTGCCTCTGTTGCAAGGATCCAGCTTTGGCAACGCCATTGCCAAGAGGATTCCCTACTGAAGCCTGCTGAAGACTGCGAAGATTGGGCTGGAAGTCCCGTTTCCCAGCCTGGAAGCCCCAAGGAAAGCGAGAACACAGAAAGGCACCCGTGTGTTCAGAGGCACAGTAAAATGTGATTTCAGATCCACACTCTTGGCTGCATCCTGCCCTGCCCGGTTCACAAACAGAGGTGGGTTCAAGTTCTCATTCGTCACGAGCAACCGTCTCCTGAGCTTGCTTGCTTTTCTTTTCTTTCTTTTTTTTTTTTTTAACTTTTTATTTGAGAGTCAGAGAGAGCTCCCCTCCTCTGGTTCACTCCCCAAATGCCTGCAACAGCTGGGGCTGAGGCTGAATGGAGGCCAGGAACCTAGAACTCAATCCAGGTCCCCAGCATGGGTGGCAGGACCCCAGCTCCTTGAGCCACCACCTGCTGCCTCCCAGATGTGCATTAGCCAAGAAGCTGGAATCCGGAGCCAGAAGGAGAGGTGAACCCAGGCTCTGATGGGGGATAGGAAAGTCCTAGCCCATGTCTTAACTGCTAAGCTGACTGCTGGCTTTTCCTATCTTTTCTTTAGCCTTTGGCAATGGTGTAGACCAGCTGAAAAATTTTTTCATGAGCTTTACAGTCCATGGAGCCACACAATATTTACAGACTGGAATATTTTGGAGGCCACTAACTATAAAATAAAAACTGCACCAAGTTTCACTGAGGCACCAAGTGACGTGCTGTGACAATCTGGAAGTGCAGGGGTCCGATCAGAAGTGGGGGAGATAACCCCACCAAAGAGATTGGCAGCAGCTTTCGTTGGCTGGTTTTTATTTAGGTCTCTGGTTTTTCTACAGGAATTAGGAGTCTTTGTTGTGGTTCTTTCTTAGTTGACTGATAGATCTTACTTAAAATAGACGCTAGTATTCTATTCCTGCTCTGCACCATGGTAGATTATTTTTCTATAATTATATTTCATTAATAAAGATGATAAAAATATGTAATATCCACTTAAGAGATCTGCCTATACATTCTGGAAAAGATGATATTTGAGCATCCTATCGAATTATGAGGCCAATTGGTTTCTTTGGACAATAAGTCAACAGCAGTCCATCTCCATCTCTCCTGTGGCTTAAAAATAGCTAGAAATATCTGTTCTATCTAGAAATACTACCTGAAATACATAATAGTCAATCAAATCTCACAAGCCCTCCTTTCAAAGATGTTCCCCAATGTGTATTTGTTTTAAAGCTCATATGATCAAGCCATAGATTTAAAAATACATTATAGTTATTTGGGGGTTAACAATGTAATGGGGGGCATCCTTCCTGTGAACATCTGTAGAAAGCAATTACGCCAATGAGTCCACAATTGCATAAACAGAGAACCAAATGCCTGCCACTGCAATCTATGATGCAGCTATCAGCTACCTAGCTCTCATTCCTAGTGGTTCAAACAAGTCCGTGCAGCCCCACTTAGCCAGTGGTGTGGCCTAATTATCTCACGGGCTAATTCCACAGCAAATTTCCTATGGAAAGGGAACCCGTGCAGAAGGGGGGCATTGGTTTTGAGTGCCGACCTGAGCCCGACAATCCTACCGACTGATTCTGACAGTGAATCTGTCTCAGCTCTGGAAACGAAATTACTAGACTGAATAGATTGTTTTATTGCAGTGTATTTAGAGGAAAAAAATTGGCTTCACTTTGATCTACTTTCGTTTTTTTGAATCGTGTAGGGAAGCTCCTTGGGCATGAGACAATAAAGCCATGCAGCATGTTGCTGACATTCTGGAATATTCTCAGGGGAAGTGGTGTACAAGAAAACGCTATCACCTATCTTTAAAAAAAAGTGTAGTTTGAAAATTTTGTCTGTGGAATAGGTTTGCGATAACTGCTTAATGTTACTTAAACTTCACGTCCACAAGTCGTTTTATCAAACCTAAAGCAGACGTTGCAGGAACAGATTCTGTGTGCTCAAGTATTGCTCTCTTGTGAAAATGTGCAATGGGCATTCTTAAATGCTCACTTAAGAAAAATACCTGAGCTTGTTCTGACCTCAAAAAATACATAATTAGTTTTTCTTTAAAATGGGCACTATGTTGTTAACAAACAAAAATTCCTGCAATGGGAAGACTTCCGCGTGTGTGTGTGTGTGTGTGTGTGTGATGTATTTATTTAAACTGAGTATGTGTAATCCATAAGAAAACTAGCTTTTACTCTCAGACTTAAAATGATGCTTTCTAATTCTAGTTTCTTTGGCCAAATTATTCTCATCCTCCTGAAATTCTAAGACACTTTATTTAAAATTATGTTTTATCACCCCGTTTACATTACCATTGCTTTCAAGGGCTTAATTCTTTGGGGATGCCATGGGTCAGGTTACTCTGCAGGGCTAACTGCGGGAGTTTTTTTAAAGGGTCAGTGGTGAGAACGGGGGGGGGGGGGGGGGGGAGAAAGTTCTGGAAATTGTGTCTTTAACAGCTTGGTGCTTATCAACAATGCAGGATGGGGGGGGGCAGGGGGGGGAACCTCTTTCTGGTTCTAGCTTTGAACAAGAAAAGAGAAACCCAAACAGAACGTGTCACCTGATATCAGGTCAGGTCCACGATTAGTTGCAGAAGCAAAAGCTCTCGCACCTTATTCGAAGGACTTGAGTCAGTTAATTGGGTCTGCAATTAGCCTCTCTAGTTGCAATCAATTACAAGTGCAATTTCTGTGTGTGAACTAATTTTGTGTGCAAAAGTAGTCTCACCGAAACAAAAGCCTAAGTTAGAATAAAATGCAGATCTGTCTTGGCTCACTTACATCCGTGGGCCGGACACAAGACCACAGCTGAAGATTGTAGGCAATTCAAGTGATGATACTTAGGTAACAATTTCAATGCTTTTTTTTTTCTCCCATTACTGTCCAAGTGGGTCATGGTCCTACAGCACACACGAGCACACAAACAGGTATACTCACACGGGAGCAGAGATAAATCGCAATCCAGATTCTGTTACCATGGATCACGTAAGGACCCGCGCTCTGCTTCGAAGGCCTGAGCAGAAAGCTACTGTGTAATACGGAGATTCAGTGGGTTTTGTCATCTGTCAAAGCCACCAAGTCAGCTGGGGAAATCTGGCCTTAGCAAGCAAGTGTGACCCACCAGGTAGAAGCAACACAAAACAAAACAAGCCAGCCAGCAAGCAAATGCCAAACATTTTGACAGCCGCTCGTGTTTAAAAAGAACTTGCGACGCACGTCTCTGGGAGTCCCCACGCTATCCTGGCATACCTATTTCACCACTGTGCTTCAGACAACAGCTTTTAAGTCCCCCAATTCATAAATGTAATTAAATAATTACATTAGTGCTAATTAACATGAAACTGCAGATTATTTAAGCGCAAAAAACACTATTCAACTTCTTAATTATTCTTGTTCACACAGCATTTCCTTTTGCTCAGGCGCCCTAGGTGCAAATAAAGCATCCCATCTGCTCGTAATTAGAACTAAATAATTTCAGAGAATGTAGCTTATCATTTTGACTGCACATTTGATTAAAAACAGTGTACCAGCAATATCCTGGCTTATTGGCGTAACAGCATCAACACACAAGCCCGTGTTGTTCTACCATTAAAGAAGATCGAAAACATTATCTGTTATTTCGGGGGAGGGGAAAAAATACAACTTTTTAGTTCATTTCATACAGATGAAAGCGAATTACAGCAAATCACCTCTCCACTGAATAGCAGACCCCCACATAATGACTTTATTTGCTTAATCCCCAAATTAAACGCCGTTTCGAGCGAGGGCCCTGTGTTATTACTCTCATCATGTCGAGAACATTTTCCTGCCGAGACCAATTTGAATAAAACAAGGGGCCTTCCTTGAACTCAATCACGGAGCCCTAATGTGGTGGGTAATAGAGGTTGCTGATGGATTTGCAGGCAGAAGTGTTGTACCTAATGACGGGATATGGATAATAGTCCTCCTCGAGGTCTTGATGCGATTCCAGTTGGCTGCCAGATGCTGAAAATCAAGAGGAGCATTGATCAGTGACAGGACGCTGCAGTGGATCCATCGAGTCGAACTTCAGCTGTTTTTCCACTGTACAGTTAAGCCAGGCATAAATTATATTAATTGATTTAATTACATACTTAAAACATCTTCCCCAATTAATTTAATTAGGTGGCTACATGATGCTACTGGCAGGGGAAGATTAGAGGCAGCTCACTTAATTAACAGAATATGAATGAAAAAAAAAAGAGAAAGCAAACATAAATGAAATTGTGAGCACTAATTAAAAGGCTGTCTGAAAACTTAAATACTTTCTGACAAAGTGGTGACAGCCACGGAGACAAGAGAGGATTTTTTTTTTCCTAGCAAATTAAAGTGCCAGAAGGTATATATAGGGAGAAAAGGTAACGCAGCGAAAACATTGATTTTCTGACAGAGCCACTGCCGTCAAAGTGAAGGAACGTTTTCCTTCCTGTCGAAAAATTGCAACAGATTTTTGCAAGGGCTAACGGCCAGGTTCCCGGTTAGGGCTCAAATATGATGCAAAAACCAATGTAGGGGTCTGTGCATCCGTGTGGAGGGGAGTCTAACGCGAGGGAGGCGGAGGGGGAGGGCCATGGCGGCGGGGGAGGGAGGGGGGAGAGGGAGAGAGAGAGAAGATAAGAGACAACGTATGGCAGTCGCTCAAGCAGGAAATGTTTAGAAGAAGAGGGCTGACGCGACAGCTGGCAGCCCCGCGCACCTTGGCTCGGATGCGGAAGTTCTCCAGGTGTCTCTGCCGCGACTCCTTCAGGATGGCCTTCAGCCGAGTCTTATGGCAGTGTAAGAGCCAGGCGATGGCAATGACACCTGACGCCCACTTCTGCGCGCGGTACAGGAGGAACAGCCTTCTCTCTTTGTAGCACTTCCACGTGGCTTGAATCTTCACAGCGGCGTTTAACTTTCCCTCTCGGCCCTTGAACCTCTGCCCGGGGATACTGAGCAGCATCTGGACGCGAACGGGGTCCTCCAGCATGGACAGGAGGTCCTCCCGGGTGGGCCTGTGCTTCAGCTCCATCTCGGGAAGGAGGGCCACCAGATTAGTCCCTTTCACTTTCACTTCCGGGATCGCGTAGTCTCGGAGAAACTTCTCCAGGTGTTCCAGCAGAGAAAAAATGCTCCCCCAGGCTGAGCTAAAATGCTCCTTGAACGCTAAGAAGTCTGGGTCCGTCTTGTCGATGGTGCCGTTATAGATGGGGAAGGCGTAATCCCACGGTGACTTCAGAGGTCTACAAGGCGTTGTGATTTTCATGGACTGCGGAAAGAAAATGGGGCAGGTGTGAAAGATCTGTGATGGCCTGAATTCAGGGGGTGGGCAAGACGCACACAGCCTTATCATTTACCGCTCAGTGGCGGGAAGCTATGGACCTCAGGACTGATTCAAAACACACACAGGGTACCTAATCTGTCACTAGGACAGCTTAGTGGTCACTTAAGGCTAGGAACATTCTTAGGAAAGGGTTACAAAACTGCTAGAGGAGACAGATGGAGAAATTATGTGCTCGGTTATACTTTGGTATGGTCAGCTGACCCCTCAGTCTCTAGCGATGGAATTCTCACACATTCGCTCCTGGGCTCAGAGAAACGCACCGCTGGCCCCTTGTTCGTAGCTTAGCCACCAAGCCTGAAACAAACAGGGAGAAGCCTTCCCTTGCAGTTTTTCTTTTTAATAATTTCCTTTTTTAAAAAGATTTATTTATTTATTTGAAAGTCAGAGTTACACAGAGAGAGAGAGAGAGAGGTCTTCCATCTGCTGGTTCACTCCCCAGATGGCCGCAACAGCTGGAGCTGTGCCTATGGGAAGCCAAGAGACAGGAGCTTCTTCTGGGTCTCCCACGCAGGTGCAGAGGCCCAAAGACCTGGGCCATCTTCTACTGCTTTCCCAGGCCATAGCAGAGAGCTGGATCGGAAGTGCAGCACCCGGGTCTTGAACCGGTGCACATATGGGATACCGGCACTGCAGGCGGGCAGCTTTACCTGCTATGCCACAGCACCAGCCCCCCTTGCAGTCTTGAGGATAACTGAGCATCTGTTGAAAGCTCCTCCTGGGGGCCCACACAGCTAATGTCACCGCCTGTGATGCTGGCATCCCACAAGGGCCCAGGTTTGAGTCCTGGCCACACCACTTCCAGTCCAGTTCCCTGCTAATGCGCCTAGGAAAGCAGCGGAGGATGGTCCAAGTGCTTGGGCCCCTGCACCCATGTGGGAGACCCAGATGAAGCTCCTGACTCGTGGCTCCGGCCTGGCCTAGCCCAGCCAAGCCATTGCAGCCAATTGGGGAGTGAACCATCATTTAGAAGATCTCTCTCTCTCTCTCTCTCTCTCTCTGCCTTTCAAATAAATAAATAAATCTTTTTTTAAAAGTCAATCAGAATATCAATGACTCTGATGCCTCACTGTGTTGAATGTTGCTACTTTAGACTGTTCCTGCTTTGTCTTTCCTCAGTGTTAACAGAGTAATTAACAAATTCAAGGCAGAACACTATCCAAGAGCAAAATGAGCCAAGAAATACACTTACAATAAAAGCTCCATAAGAAAACACAGGAAATTTAAAAACGAACAGCAGAACCCTTCAGGTTCTCTTTTTCTTTTCTCAATTTCTGGGCAGTGGCATAATTAGATTGTCGTCTCAAGTGAAAACGCAGAAAAGCAAGTGTTGGGTCCGAAAGGGGGCGGAATTTCCTTGAACAGCAAGCGATGAGTCTTTGTATGCTTTCAGCTTGGTAGCTGGAAGCCAATTCCTCCTTCTTGATGGGGGAGAGCGAGTTGGAGAAGGAACGCCTCCTTCAGCAGGCACCCGGGCTGGCGGGAGCAGTTGCAGCTCCCAGCAGAAGACAGGCGGCACCTGCTCCGACGGTACGGCCTGTGGTTACATTTCCGCCTGCCTTCAAGAACGGCTGCTGGTGTCGGGGAGGTGAGAACCCAGGCAAAAGCGCCAGTGCGTCATCAGGGAGGGACAGACACACATGCATAGAGCTGGCCGGTCCTGTGTGGGAGCCCCTCAGCAAAGCTCCGAGACTCCTGGAAGAAGCTGTGGATGGGAGGTTTGACAGAGGATCTGGTTGCCTTGGAGTCGTCCACATAGTTTTGACGTTCTTTATCTTTACAGAGAGTCACGTGGAGATAGGACCCTCGGTGGAAATGGAACAAGCTTGGGAGAAGTTCTGAAGGGAGAGGCCTCCTGTGTCTCCGGCTGCCTGTGCCTTCCCTTGAGCTGGGTCAAAGGGGCTGACAGCCATCGGAAGATGCGCTCCAGGCCTTTTCCAAGCAGAGCCTTGGGTTGGGGCTGTTTCAGAACAAAGGGGTTGCACCTCCCTGCCTTCCTGGAGGATATTCCAGCAAAGCCTGACTCTCAAAGGAGACACACCCTTGGACATCAAATAGACCACCAAGGCCCCGGGCAGCTGTGGGCCCGGAGTCAGCGAAAGCATAACTGTGGTACATCTGTCACGGAGAATGCCACACTCGGGAGCACTTCCGAGTTGGAGCGAGAACGGACATGCCTCTCCTGAGAAAGGCTTCCCAAATTAAAGCAGTGCATCAGCAGCGCGAGGCCCTCTGCGCAGGTGAAGACGGAGCGGCCTCCAGCCCGCCAGGAGGAACAGCCCTGATTAAAGGTTGCCGGGTGCTCCGTCTCGGGGCCCCTCTGTCACTCTTCCCGGAGGATTTATCCCCGCCAGCGTGCCTGCGAGTCCTTGCAGGTGCCCCCCACCCCCTTCCTCCTCCTCCTCTCACTTTCCCTGGGTTCCTCCCTTTCCTGCCAAGATGCACTGCACTCCCATTGTGATATCACCTACTCAACCGCAAAACTGCTGCTTCTGACGGGGGTGGACGTTGCCAACACGCATGCGCTGGCGCCAGCTCCTCCTCAGGACCACAGCCACACCTCCAGCTTTGTGACAAGCCTGCACCCACTGGCTGGCCCCCACAGAGCCCAAACCTGTGGCTGTGGCCTAATTATTAGCATCCGGCTCTTAACTAACTGAGTCAACTAGCTGGGAAATGCTCTTCTTCATTTGCAAAGGGTAATCACTAATTAGGTAACTTTGAGAGTTTCTGGAGCAGCTATTTAGGGAAAATTCTAAATCCAAGACAAAGGAAAAAAAAAAAAAAAAAAAACAAGCCAGGAAGGCGAAGGAGGGGGTTGTGGTGTAGCGATTAAGCTGCAACTTGGAGCACCTGCATCCCATATCAGGCGTCCTGCTTCCAATCCAGCTTCCTGCTAATGCGCCTGGGAAAGCAGTGGATGATGGCTCAAGGACTTGGGTTCCTGTCATTCATGTGGGAGACCCAGATGGAGTTCCTGGCTCCTGGCTTCAGCCCGGCCTAGTTCCAGCCATTGTAGGCATTTGAGGAGTGAGCCAGTATGTGGAAGGTCTCTGTGTGTGTGTGTGTGTGTGTGCGTGCCTCCCCCCTCTCATTCTTCTTTCCAGATAAATAAAGAAATCTTTTATAAAACAGGAAGGCAGGATGATGACTGTAACTCACAGAGATGAAGCAAAAAAGAAAAAGCATTGATTACTCCCCAAAGAGCAGGGGTGCCATTTGTCTGACCCTGTTCTTTTTTTGTTGAGGGCACATGATGTGTTGGGTTTTGTACAGAACAAACATCGGCTGGCTAGAACTGCTCAAAAGCTAAACACCACATGGACAAAGAAGCTGACTTAATCAGGGCTTAGCATAATTATAGCCTTGACTTTTTGTATATGAGGGATCTTGAAGGTCGTTGGCCTTGCTTTTTGCTTGATCTGCTTATTATGGGCCCAGGGAAATGAGCCTTGGCCCTGAAGTCCAGCTATCCTGGGTTCATACCCAGTCCTGGTCCCTATCTGTTATATGCTCCTGGGTGAGGGGTCACCCTCTCGGAACCTAGATCTTCTGACCTGTAGAAGTGTGAGACCCCTGCAGAACTGCTGTGGTAATGACAATGCACCCTTGCGCGGTGCCTCAGTCCCAATTGGCATGGTTATTACTACAGCTGGGGAAACTGAGGCTCCCGCAGGTTCAATGACTTGCCCAAGGTCACAAAAACAGCTGGTGGATCTCCTTAACTTCTAGGACGCTGTTTTTGCTACAAGACAAAGTCCTCTTTGTAAACATTCCAAGTCCACACAGAAAGGCCTAAGTTGTGCTGGACTGAAATTTGTCTTAGGTGCCCTTCCATCTTTCTCTCTCTCTCTCTCTCTAACAGGCAGAGTGGACAGTGAGAGAGAGAAAGGTCTTCCTTTTGCCGTTGGTTCACCCTTCAATGGCCACCGCGGCCGGCGCATCGCACTGATCTGAAACCAGGAGTCAGGTACTTCTCCTGATCTCCCATGGGGTGCAGGGCCCAAGCACTTGGGCCATCCTCCACTGCACTCCCTGGCCACAGCAGAGAGCTGGCCTGGAAGAGGGGCAACCGGGATAGAATCCGGCGCCCCAACCGGGACTAGAACCCGGTGTGCCGGCGCCGCAAGGCGGAGGATTAGCTTAGTGAGCCGCGGCGCCGGCTAGCTTTTTATTTTTATTTTGAAAGACAGCAAGTCATATCAGGCGAGCTTCCATCTGCTGGTTCACTCCCCAGAAGCCCTCAGCAGCCAGCGCTGGGCCAGGATGCAGCCAGGAGCTGGAAACTCAACCCAGGTTTCCCATGTGGGCAGCTGTGACCCACATACTTGAGCCGCCACTGCTGCCTTCCAGGGTCTGCATCAGCAGGAAGCTGGAGCTGGGGCCCAAATCCAGGCACCCCAGAGTGGCAGGTGGGCATCTTAACTGCTGGGCTCAACGCCTGGCTGGGCTCTGTCTTTTTTTTTTTAATTAATTTATTTATTTGAAAGAGTGACACAGAGAGAAGAGAGGCAGAGACAGAAAGGTCTTCCAGCTGATGGTTCACTCCCCAATTGGCCACAACAGTCTGAGCTGTGCCCATCCGAAGCCAGGAGCCAGGAGCTTCTTCTGGGTCTCCCACATGGGTGCAGGGGTCCAAGGACTTGGGCCATCTTCTACTGCTTTCCCAGGCCATAGCAGAGAGTTGCATCAGAAGCGGAGCTGCCGGGTCTCGAACCAGCGCCCACATGGGACACTGGCGTTTCAGGCCAAGGCGTTAACGCACTGTGCCACAGAGCCAGCCCCTGGGCTCTGACTTTTTAACAGACTCCTGGAGTTGGTAAAGGCATCAAACCAAGGCCATTATCTTCAATGGCAGTGCTTTGAGTACCATGAAAAGGATCTCGGCCCAGGGTGATTTTGCTACTGTTTTATAAAGAAATTTCTTC